TGCAAACGACTCGACGGCACATAACAACAACAACAACATATGTATATGTATATGTGTATGTATGTATATATGTGTATATATATGTGTGTCTGTATATATGTGTATATATATATATACATATACACACATATACATACATATATGTCAATCATTGCGTGCCATGATCTGATAAACCAAATAGTTTTAAGAAGATTAAAAGTGTAATGCATCACCCCTTAATCCCATCACTGCCCTAATCCAAGGTAGAGTGTGGACCTTTTATCTCAGTAAACATTAAAGGGGGGAAAAGCCAACCAAGAGAGAGGGCCTCAGCTCCTCCAGAGAGACTCCCGGGCATGGGGTGTGTCCTTGACTTCCTGGACGTGGAGTGTGTCCTCTGGACCCAGACCCCTGCTCTGAGCTCCTGACCTCCAGAGATAGCCAAGACACGTGATGTTCTCCAAGTAGCCCCTGCTCTGCAGATACTGAAGGAACACAAGCACTTGTCTTCAGAACCAACCAATGGTGGCCCCAGGATTTAGGCATCCACCTTCCTAAACTGTAGTGTTGTTGTCATTAAGTGCTGTTGAGTCAAGCACAACTCATAGCGACCCTGTGAACAAAAGATCTGAACCTTATTCTAGAACTATCATCATTTCTCTAATGTTCATAGAGTTTCCAAAGGCATGTTGTTTAGGAAGTGGATGCCAATCCTGCTTCCAAGCCTGTCTTAATCCGGAAGCTCCACCAAACCCTGTCCACCCTGGGTAACCATTATGGTGTTTGTATGGCACAGTGTTCAGCATCACAGCAACCCCAGGTTACCTCAGTACAGCAAGCTGACAGGCCAGTGCTATAACCCCGAGGGCTGCCCACCAGGTCCTGATTGACTTAACCAAGAGGCAGCAGGGCCCATAGCTGTCTGATTCATGTCGCCCCTCAGTCTCTGGACATGTGGCTGAAGTATGCCAGGTTCTCAAAAGTTGTTTTTGAATGAGTGAGTGGACTCCACTTTCTTAAAGCCCTCAGACGTGCCCATGCCATACCTCCAGCCCACTTGTCTTTTGATCTGATTTATGCTTCTTCTTTCAAACTGTTATACCACTTTGTTGTTAGGTACCATAAAGTTGAGTATGATTCATAGTGACCCTGTGAACAACTGAGCTGAGCCCTGTCCTATGCTGTGCAGTCCTCACTGCCTCTGGTACGCTTGAGCCCACTGCTGCAGTCTCTGTGTCAATCCATCTCATTGTGGTCTTCTTTTCCTTTACTGACCCTCCCTCCACATTTCCAAGCATGATATCCGTTTCCAAGGACTAGACTTTCTAGGAACATGTCTGTGGTATGAGAGATGAAGCTGCATCATCCTCGCCTCCAGGGAAGGCCCTGGATGCACCTTTTCCAGAACATACTTATTCTTTCTTTTTGTCAGTCACGGGATATTCAGTACTCATCTCCAACACCACAGCTCAGAGGCGTCAATTCTTCATTGCCCAGCTCTCACTTGCCTAGCAAATGATTGAAAAGATCATGGCCTTAATCAGGCGCTCGTGAGTTTTCAGACTGACATTGCTCTTCAGTATTTTGGAGAGGTCCCTGACAACGGACTTGCTCAAAGCAATGCAGCTCCTGATTTCCTGACTGTAGGTACCAAGGGTGTGGATTGTGAATCCAAGTAAGATGAAGTCATTGACAGTTTCCATCTTTCCCCACCCATCATGAAGTTGCCTTTTGGCTCAGTGTTGAGGCTTTTGATGTTGAGATGTAATCCAGACTGAGGGCTGTCGTCTTCGATCATCTGCAACAACTGCTTCAGGTCCTCCTCACTTTCAGCAAGCAGGGTTGTGTCGTCTGTGTAACATAGGTTGTTGATGAGTCTTCCTCGGATCCTGATGCCGAATTCTTCTTCATAGAGTTTAGCTTCATGCATTGAATTAGTCTGACTCCCTGATGATGGAGCCGAGGGCCTTGCCTGCAGAATTCTCCTCCTCCTCCAGGAACCTCTTGTTGTGTGTGAATGACCTCTGACATTTCCAAAGGGCATGAGGTCAAATATCATGATCTTTGCTTCCTAGGAGCAGTCTGGCTGTGCTCTTCAAGGCACGTTTGCCTATTCTTCTGGCACTTTGTGGTATAATCAATATTTTTCACCTTTATCACAGTTCAAATGCATCTGCTTTTCTTTGGTCTTCATTTTTCCTTGTCCAGCTTTCACGTATATGAGACATGTATGGAGAGCAAAACCTCCCTTTGCTGTTAGGACTTTTGCAAAGGGCTTTTCTAGCTATTGCCTTAGCTCCATCTGGGGCGTGGACTCCAGCGGGCTCAACTGCAGACACGTGGTTCATCCCTGGTCAGCGTTTTCTACACCATCAACAGCTGTGGGGCGACCCAGGAGGGAGAGCTGGCCGGGCTATAGAAAGACTGTAGACTAATGGAGCCCTGGAGACGGAGCCAGAGTTAAAGGTTTTGCTGGGTGATGGAAGGAAGGGCTGACTCATGACTGCTGTGATGTGGTGAAAGCTTGCTGGACAGGGGAGGAGACCAGAGGCTTCTACATCTGTGTTGCTGGACTGAACCTGGACTTTGACTCGTTCACTAAGACACTGTCTGAACTAACTGAGGAATCGTGTCTTGCTGTAACCTTGGCTCAGGACCGCTGCTCACTAAGCCTGGGCTTTCACTGTGTGACATCTTTGCCTTCTCTGCCACCCCACATTGCTTCCTTAGTAAACCCCACAGATTGTGAGTAAAGTCTGTGAGTCATTAGCAGCGCATTTTGGACCCAGTGATTAGTAGAAGTAGGGGCGGGAGTGTGTGTGGGCATGTCTAGCCTTGCAGCTGTTTGGTACTGTGGGTGTTATTGATGGGGACGGTTCCCTGTGGTGGAGTTAACTGTGCTCAGACTCGCCTTCCCCACATGGCCTCCTTCTGAACCCTCCAAATTGCTCCTTCTGAACCCCCCAAACCCCACTGCCCTCAAGTTCCTGGTGACATTTGGTGGCCTCAAGGCTGCAGAACAGAATTTCTTCCTCGGTTTTTGTGGCTGTTGTAGTTTTTATAGGAGAAGATTGCCAGCTCTTTCTCCCAGGTCACTACCGGGTGGATTTGAATCTGTGGACTTGATGGCAAGACAGGAACAACAACAGAAATGTTTCTCAGGCTGTAAATTTTTACGGGAGACGACTGGTCATCTCTCCCCCTGCCCCCAGGAGTGACTGATGGATTCAGACTGCCAACCTTTCTGTTAGCAGTCCAGCACCTAACTCACCACACCACCAAGCCTTCTTAAACTTTATGATCGCACGCATCCCCTTTCCCGACAACTCACAGCTGCCTCACAGCCACTGAGTTGATTACAGCTATGGCAGCCCTCCTGCCAGTTTCTGAAGCTGGACATCTCTGAGAGGAGATTGCCCATTTTTTTCCCTCTGAGAAGCTGGTGGACTCGAACCACTCATTTTTGTTTAGCAGCCCAACACCCAACACACTGTGACACCAGAGCTTCAACTTCCTGTTAGAAGTGGAGTACAAACTCATTGCCTTCAAACTAAAACACACTCAAGTCTTCCACTTTGAGCCTTAGCTGACTCATGACGTTGTTGTTGTCAGGTGCTGTTGAGTCCAGTGTGACTCACAGCGGCTCTGAGCAACAGATGTGAGCCTGTCCTATCTGTGCCGTCCTCACCATCTCCAGCACCCTCAGCCATGGCTGGGTCACTGCGTTAGCCCCCCTGGTAGAGAGGCTGCCTCTCGCTTGCCATCCCTCAACCATCCCAAGCACGATGCCCATCTCCAGGGAACAGCTCTCCTAGCAGCATGTGCACAGTGTGGGGGACAGTCTCGCCCTCCTGGTCTCAAAGCAGCACCCTGGCTGCATGGTGATCCGCTGTCGTTTCCCTACCGCTGTGAAAGGCAGCGAGAGGAGGCTGCACAGCTTTCTCTTGAATTGCTGCTGGTCTTTGAGTGAGGCGGGAACTCGCCGTGGACTGGGTGCCCCTTCCTTCCGCGTGTGTTGGCCTGAGCTTTCTGCCGGCTGCCGGCCTCCTTCCTGTGCACGCTGTTATGTTAGTAGCCAATAAAAGGGATTTAAACATGCTTTCATTATTTTTTAGGGTTTAAACTGTCATCTCTTCCTTGTCTTTGAGAAAAACAATACCGACTTTGTTGTTATTGTTGTTATGTGCCATTGAGTCACCTGCGACTCATAGCGACCCTGTGTACAACAGCCCTAAACTCTGCTCTATCCTGTGTCAATCTCACTGCCTCTGACACACCTACCCTGATTACCCCAGTCACTGACTCAATCCATCTCATTGAGGGCCTTCCTTTCCTGCACATTCCTCCACCCTCTCAAGCATAATGTCCCTCTCTAAGGACTTGTCCCTCCTTACAACATGTCCAAAGTATGTCAGATGAAGCCTCAGAATTTAGGCTTACATATTTTCCCCCCTCAAAAGTTGGCAAGGGAATAAAAAACAAATATGATATTTTTAAACATATATTTAAAATCCCAATACTTCTTAACAAGGTTTTCTTCAAGTATTTCTGTTTTTTCCTTGTGGTTGTGTATATTCCTTATAGGGGCAATAATCCTGGTCCTGTATTTTTCCCCGCTGCTAATGTTATTGATGAGAGTGAAGAAACTGATGAGAGACTGGAATTTGTTCCGCACGCCGTAGAATGAGTAAACGTGCAGGCTGCGGTCAGTAGAAGAGGTTGCTGCCTTTAGAAGCTTAACTGATTCTGTTGTACTGTGGAACAGTTTTCCATCTACACACACGTAACAAATACCCCTTCTCTTACAGCCTCAGTGAATCCAATCCTGTCTGCCCTCGAGGTTAAACAGATTTTATTTAAGAAAATCAGTGACAAGGAGGACGAGTTGAAAAGAGCCTTCCAGCTTCTGGATCCAGGCCAGACCATGACGGTGTCCAGGAGCGACCTGCGGAGAGTCATCGCCACCTTCCTGCTGCCCCTCACCAGGGGACAGTTCCGGGAGGTGCTGGCTCAGGTACGGGCGGACGCGTCCCCCAGGTAATTTGGGTGCAGCGGAGATGGAGTGGGTGATGACAGGAGCATGTAGCCCATTTCGGTGGTTTCTCCCAGTATTGGGAGCAGCACTATTACAACCATTTTAATCTGTTCACCTTTTCCTCTTTTTGTTTTTGAAGTTTCATATAAAAATATTCAGTTAGCATGCATTCTGGGACTTGGTGTATTGATCCTGAATGGTTCCGATCATTCACTACGTGTCGGGCCTTTGAAGGGCCTGGGGGATACAGAGGACGCTGCCCAGTCTCTGCCTGGGGGGGACTCCCAGTGCAGGGAGAGGCCCCTGAGGTGTAGGTCGGCTGCTGCGGTGAAGAAGCCCTGCCCCTCGCCAGAGGTCTGCGGTTAGAACCACAGGTCGTGCGGAGGCAGCGGTCTCCTGTTGAGATTGGTACTGTTACTGCTGTGTGCCGTTGAGCTGGGCCTGTCCCTATAGCGGGTTTTCAAAGCATAGTAAACGGCACAGGAGGAGACTGACCATCTTTCTCTCATGGAGCAGCTGGTGGATTCAAACCCTGCACCTTTGCATTGATTGACAGTGCCATTCCTTCCCACTGAGCCACCAGAGCTCTGTTGAGAGTTGCCACCTTGGAAAACCTACTGAGTGCTGACCAAGAGTTCACATCCGTTGTATAGCTGTGAGCTTGCGATTATTATTATTAGTGCCGTTGAGTTGATTTTGACCCCGTGTAACAAACTAGAATTGCCTCCATGATTTCTTAGACAGTCATGTGTACAGAAACAGATGACTAGATAGCTTTTCCTGCAGGACCACTGGTGGATTTAAACTGCCAGCCTTGTAGGTAGCACCCAGACACTTACCACTGCATCAATAGGGGTCCTTTCTGTAAGTGCTGAGATAGGAGTACTTACTGGGGGGTGGGGAATAGAAGCAGCCATATCTCTGAAAATGAGGGTGGAGTCCAGGAAGGCTTCTTGGAGGAGGAAGTGTGTAAGCTTAGTTTGGACAGAGGAGGTTACTCCCCAGTGAAAGGAGGGAATGACAGGAGGGACCGAGGGAGCAGCCCAGGGGGAGGTTGAGCTGAAACGACATGCATATTCAGTGGTCTTGGATTTATATCTGAAATGAATGGCTGTGTGTCAAGTTGTGGCGAAAGAAGTGAGCAGCCCATTCTTATACCAGAGTTGTTACCTTAGGGGCTGTGGGGTGAGGCCCCCCTCAGTGTGTGCTGAAGGGGTGCAGCGAGCGTGGAGGAGCACATGGTGGCAGCGTGCTAAGGACCCTCCAATCTCTGGCCCAGGGCAACGAGCCACACTCTGTCAGCACATCCACCCTGGTCCGTACTCAGTGTCCCCCAAATACATGCTAGACTCTCAGCTCCCGTCCCTGTGAATCGGATCCTGCTGGGAATAAGATTTTCTTTCCTCTGTTGTGTGAATGAGGTCATTCCTCAGGAGGCTGGGACCTAAATGTTATCACTTCTGAGTTAGAAAAAGAGCAGATGAAAAATATTTAAAAACTAAAACTAAAGGGGAAAAAATGTAGTGAGGGGCCAGTCCTAGAAAGCATTAAGTGACCTAGTCTGATCTTTGTCATATGCTCCAAAGGTTTGGGGTTATTTTTTGGCTGTAAATGCCCCTTTCCCCCCTGCAGTAAAATTCACTGCATAGGGTCAAGCTGTCAATCTATACATTAGTTAAAAAGAAATAAGCGATACAATAGGAATGAAACATTCTCATAATAAACCTGTAGGCGCCAATGAACCCCAAAAACCCCAAAGGACTCTGTGTGTTGAATAATTTCCAACCCTTAGAAGGAGATGGTGTAATAATTACAACAGCGGAAATTACAACAGCAGTATTGGTAGTGTGTGTGCTTTTCAATCAAGTAACTCGGTAGCTAACGGAGTTTGTACAAGCACTCAGGTAAGTGAGTAATTTTTAATTCATTTCTTAGGGGTTCTTTTTGGGGGAGTAGCTGTGATTTTTTTTTATTGTTCCTTTCTCCTCCCCCTCCCCCAGCCCATCTCCAAGGCACCAGTTTTTGTCATACATTCATTAGTTTTTAACTGTTGTCAGACTTCATGTTATCTCATAAGATTCAGAAGGCAATTTCTTTTTAATGAATTTCTTTTTATACTGGTTTACTTATAAAATTCATATACCTCACTCATCAAATTGTGTGACCCTATGGTTACTTTCCTGCCATCCACACCCTTTTTCCCCATCCCTCCACCCCTTGTATTCTCATACATGTTTTACTAGTTATCTATTTTTACAATAATGGTTTTACACAGTCTTTATCCTTATGGAACTGAGTTAGTTCACTCAGCATAATGCTCTCCAGTCCCTCCCAAGTTAGGTAGTGATTTACAAAATCATTGTTCCTGCATGCTGCATGATATTCCATTGTGTGAATGTACCATAATTTCTCGAGCCATTCATTCGTGGTTGGACATTTGGGCTGTTTCCATGTTCTTGTGATGATGAATAACGCTGCTATGAACGTTGGTGTACAAATCTCCATTTGTACCTCAGTTCTCATTACCTTGGGGTATATTTGAAGCAGTGGGATAGCTGGGTCACATGGAAGTTCTTTGTTCAGCTTTTTGAGGAAATGCCACACTAGAAGGCTATTTCTTTTTAGAATTTGTTCCACATGTCACCCCAACCGAGTTTTCTTACGTTCAACACAAGAGAATCATGTTATATAAAAAAAGAGTGAATTTTAGTCATTCCAGAGTTCTGGTCTTAACTTCAGGGATGGACTTTCATATCCTGTCTCCGGATTTCTTTTCCATCTTTGCAGACCTGTTTGTTGTTTCTTCTTGAGCATCAATTTCACAGTTTCAAAGTTTTATCTTTCAGTGAACTGGAGAAATTTTTAGCCACAAAAGTTTTTGTTGTCTCATTCTCTTGCTTAGACTTTCTGATATTTCCAATCTCAGGGCCCCTGAGAGTCTGTTAATTTTTTTAAGGTTTTTTTCTTTTCTTCAGTAAGGTGGACAATAACACCAAGGAAGCACTCACTCTTTAGAATAATCAACTATGAGAGACCAGACCATTATTATCCCAGCCATAGAGTGCAGAGGGCAGGTGAGGGCAGAGAGAAAGGTTAATGGAAATGAGAATGACAGGGAGGGGGTGGGAAGAGTAGTGTCAAATTGTGAACGTTGTAATTTATAGTGTAAAAGAAATGTGTATGATGAACTTTGTAAGTAAACCAGTAGAAAATAAAAATTAAAGAACAAATGCATGACTGGACCTGAAAACCAGTTTACTTCGTGAATTTTCATTCAAATTACAATAAAAAGAAAAATAATGAACTCACCAGCAGCCAGGAAATTAAAAGACAAATTTCACTGGGAAAGTCTGCTATCAGAGACCTCTCCAAAGTACTGAAGAGCAACGTTGTCAGCCTAGAGACTAAGGTGTGTCTGATACAGGCCATGGTCTTTGCAGTTACTTGATATGCATCGGAAAGCTGGACAATGACTAGGGATGATAGAAGGAGAATTGATGCCTTTGAGCTGTGGTGCTGGAGAAGAGTGTTGAATATACCATGGACTGCTAGGAGAACAAACAGGTTCATCCTAGAGAGGGTGAGACCAGGCTGCTTCTTGGAGGTGGGGATTGTGAAGCTTCATCTGACAAACTTTGAGCATGTTGCAAGGCAGGATCAGATCTTGGAGAGGGACATCATGCTTGTGAGGCTGGAGGGACGGTGCAGGAGAGGAAGACCCTCGATGAAATGGATGGATTCAGTGACTGGGGTGTTGGGGGGTAGGTGTGTCAGAGACGGTGAGATTAGCACAGGATGGAGCAGGGTTTAGGCCTGTTGTACATAGGGTTGCCATGAGTTGCAGGCGACTCGATGGCACATAACAACAAAAACAGTAACAATGAACTCTTTGCTAAATATGGATTCTGGTCAGTCTGAGCCAATAATTGTAATACAATATTTGAAAATTAAGAAATAATGAAAGCATCGTTGTTGCACCATCAAATTGAGTTCAACTCATAATAATCCTGTGAACAACAGATATGAACCTCACCCTATATTTTGCCATCCTCTCATAATCTTTGACAAACGAGCCCGTTACTGCACTTCACTGTGTCAGTCCATCTCGTTGAGGGTCTTCCTTTCTTTCACTGACCCTCCACCTTTCCAGACATGATGTCCCTCTCCAAGGACATCATGTCCCATTTTAACAAACTTCCCAAAGTGTGTGAACTGTCACCATTCTTGCCTCCAAGGAGCACTATGGCTGCACTTCTTCTAAGGCATACTGGTTTGTTCTTTGGCCATCCATCAGATAGTTAGAACTCTTCTCCAACACCACAGCTCACAGGAATCAGTTCTTCTTCTGTCATCCTTATTCACGGTCCAGCTATGATCAGAAAGACCATGACCTGAATCAGGCACACCTTAGTCTTCAAACTGACATCATTGTTCTTCAGTAATTTCGAGATGTGTCTGACTGCAGACATTCACAACCTAATACATCTGATGTCCTGACTGATGAGACCAAGGATGTGGATTATGGATCCAAGTAAGATTAAATAGTTGACAATTTCCATCTTTTCTCCATATATCATGATGTTGCTTATCAGGCCAGTGGTGAGAACTTTAGGTAGCGATTCAATCCATATTGAAGGTTGTCGTCTTTGATCTTCTGCAGTAAGTGCTTGAAGTCCGTCTCACATTCAGCAAGCAGGGTTGTATAATCTGTCATCTGCATGAATCTCATCAACAATTGTTGATGAGTCTTCCTTCGATCCTGCTGCCATTCTTCTTCATAGGCTCAGTCTTCCAGAATGATTTTCTCAGTGCACATAATAGTAGGAATGCAGAAAGGATATAACCCTGACACACAACCTTTCCTGATTTTCAAACCATGCAGCATCCCTTGCTCTGTTTGGACAACAGTCTCTAGGTATAGTTCTAGGTATAGTTTCATATGAGCATGACTGAGTTTTATAGGATTCCCATTCTTTTCA